GGCATGAGGCTAAGTTATTCTAAGTGTAAAACCTGCGTATATTGTTCTATACTTATGTACCCGAGCGGACAACTCGAGCCAAGGGGGGGCTACGTATTGGGAACCAAAAGGCCATCCGGCTTTGTAACATGTCCAAGCCTCTTTCTTATTTCAAGGTATGACACTAACAGAAAGAGGAGTCACGCCAGCGTGCACATCCCCGAAGATGAGAAGAGAAGGGTTTCGTAACAGTTTATATACAGTTCAAATAATATCAAAGCGGTAAAAAGCGACATTTAGCACATTAGGCCCAAACATGCAATAAACAATCAGATAATAAATAAAAGCCAATTATAAAAGTTATTCTAAGCTCGAATTCTTAAACCCTGAACAAAAGTTCTGGGTTATGTTCTCCAGCATAGTCGTCAGAGCTGTCACACCTCCTTTTTACAACCCGAAAGGGTACATCAGGGAGTTTTTTCAATTAAAGTGACATTATTCGAAATAGGATTATTTATTTATTAGAGTACTTGGAATAATTTATTTGGTGTCCCAAGTCACCGATTTATTTTTAAATCCCAAATCGAGGAAATTCGACTTTTCTTTTGAAGTCTACGAACCAGAAATTTTAAGTAAGGAATTCCGTTAACCCGGGAGAAGGTGTTAGGCATTCCCGGGTTCCGTGGTTCTAGCACGGTCGCTTAAACTATTATAATTGACCTATTATCTGATTTTAATACATGTTTTAGCCTATGGTTCAATTTACTTATTAACCGCTTTTAATAATTATTGTTACATATTGCGAATCATGTCACGAGAATCGTACCCATGATCTACAACATGTTTAATTTTAAAGATTAAATTGTGGCCAGGTCACAAAAATGTACCCCCGGATTTTAGTAATTAGGCGTCACAACTACGCCATGAGAACCGTACATGTATCTATGACAATTATTTAATTAACGTGAATAAAGCAAACTACGAAGGTTCAAGGCATTTCTAAACTAATGTTGTATTTATATGAGGGTCATAAATTAAAGGATTTTATTTTTATATGGCACACCCCAAATTATTTTAAGAAGAATTAGTTCTTGAACTACATTTGTGAGGGTCATGTGTTATAAATTTAAAGCATGGCACACCTCAAATTATTTTAAGAAAAAAAAGGGTTATATATTTTATAGGGCAAACTAAAGGTATTCCTATTTTAAACTAATTTAAAACTAATTATCACAACCACGTCACGGGAGCCGTACCCGTAGTTGTAATAATTGGAAAGTATACTTCGTTACTTAATCTTAACAGAGATTTAATATAATCGAAGTCTTCTTCGAAAAACAAGTTGAAGAACATTGTTAGTTTCACTGTGTATGAACCAAATGCATAAATAACATGATTTATATAAGCGGCTATTTACATAATTAGCCAACGACAGTGTCTGATGTTAGTCCTGTGTATTCTCAATTAGACCAAACTTTCCAGATCAGTCCAATAATTCATTATCAAAATTCCGGAAGTCTCGAAATCAAATTTCGATCTCTAGAACTAAAAATGGACTTTTGGATCATTACATGCTTATGCTCAAAACGGCAAAATCTTCCAAAAACTCTTCCAAAACATATCCGAGCCTCATGGGACCTCAACCAAATATGCCAACACCCCCCATAACATAGTTAAAACTTGTTCCAACTTTCGGAACGCTCAATACAACATCAAAACATCAAATCACCCTTGGATTCCAGCCTAAGAATTCCAAAACTTCCGAAATCCGAATTCGATCAAAAAGTCGACCAAACGACGTCCAAATGACCTGAAATTTTGCACACACATCACAAATGACATAACAAAGCTAAAAAAACTCTCGGAATTCCATTCCGACCCTCGGATCAAAATCTCACCAATCAACCGGAATTCGCCAAAATATTAACTTTGTCAATTCAAGTCAAATCCTTCCACGAACTTCCAAAATGCATTCTGATCGCGCTGCTAAGTCATAAATCACCCAAAAAATCTATTTAAATCATAAAATTTCTGATCCGAGCTCATATACAAATAAGTCAAACCTTTAAAATTCAAAGCTTTCAACTAAGACTGTTCCTTCAAATTCATTCTGATTTTTTCTGAAAACCAAAACCAACGATCTACTTCAGTCATAATACGTTTCACGGGGCAAGTCATGCCCAGGAACTGGCGATCAAAGTGAAAAAGTTCAAAATGACCGGTCGGGTCGTTACACTATTTTTCCTGAGAAAGTCCGAGTTTCGACATTCATGGGGGTAATAATTCATTTCCTTTTGGTATTTGAGTATTTGAAGAGTCGCCACCTAACGGATTATGGTGCGTTAGGGCACCTAGAGCGATTAACTCTTAGACTAGTTTGCATTACCAGAGATTTAGGGTAAGGGCTCGAAATAACCTAGAGGGGAAGGTGTTAGGCACCCCTCTCGATCCACAATGGTGGGTCCCGACCAAACTGATACTTAAGAATTAGTCCTTTAACATATAAGTAGTTGAAACACATAATTGCAAATAAAAAGCATGTTGGACATTGTATGACCCAAATAATAAGACAAGGAATTTGAAAAAGTTGCATGTAAAAAGTAAAGTTTAAACATCGGGATTGGGAAAAGTGGTCCTAGGTTGGTTAGCCTATAGGATCACCCCACACAATGCCCTGTAAACACTCCTCAATGAGGGGCTACACGTGACATTAGCGCGTAGTCATCATATCCTTACTACCCATTCTCCCCGTGGTCACAGCCTAAAGCGTTCTAATAACCTTAACAATGTCCTATGCATGCACTACCCGTCCCTTCCTCAGGGCCTTGGAGGTATTTTAGGACCTCTATTTTTGGACAGTTCTAGACCTTCCTAAGATTTTAAAGGATAAAAGTCAAGGCGTCAATCAAGAACAGTTAGGAGTGCATTTAAAGGGAACAATTTATAGGGCCACAGTTACCTCCACAAATATAACAAGTAAATGCACGCCTTCAAACAATATTCAAGTACTTTATAAGAAAATTCTAGAACATGATATCTAGGTGAGCAGGGATTATACAATAGTGAATTAGGACAAAGTGTCAAAATCCTATTTAGCTTGCCTACTGATTTAAACCTGTTAAATCTGGACAGTTTTAAATAACCAAAGCACCTCTTTAGAGTTGCAAAATTTAAATCGCCCCTATAGGCTTGCCTAAACACAGAACAGTGATGCCCTAAGAGCATGATATCTACATTAATGTAGTAAAACAACAAACAATTTTAAACGGATACTTGAGATCCTATAGACATGTTTTCTAACGGTAGTAAATTAAGGCAGTGTTTGAAAACTCATTAAAGAAGCGGACAGTTTATTAAACCAGTTCAAAAAGGAACTAACATGGATTAAACTGATTTGTTTAACTAAGCTGATTTTATGATCTATAGGAAGGATTTCTACTAGAACTGATTTTAATTCCTATAGGCATGGTATCTAAATGTTAAGAGCTGATTTTCGAACTTATAGCCATGATTTCTAGTGAGACGAATGTAAATACATGCAGTAGCAGAAGTTGAACTCAATCACTTTACACTCTATATGCATGGTATCTAATTATTATCACACCTCCTTTTTACAACCCGAAAGGGTACATAAGGGAGTTTTTCTAATTAAAGTGACATTATTCGAAATGGGATTATTTATTTATTAGAGTCGCCACTTGGGATAATTCACTTGGTGTCCCAAGTCACCGATTTATTTTTAAATCCCAAATCGAGGAAATTCGACTTTCCTTTTGAAGTCTGCGAAGCAGAAATTCCAAGTAAGGAATTCTGTTAACCCGGGAGAAGGTGTTAAGCATTCCCGGGTTCCGTGTTTCTAGCACGGTCGCTTAAACTATTATAATTGGCATATTATCTGATTTTCATACATGTTAAGCCTATGGTTCAATTTACTTATTAACCGCTTTTAATAATTAATGTTACATATTGTCAATCATGTCACGAGAACCGTACCCACGATCTATAAAATGTTTAATTTTAAAGATTAAATTATGGTCAGATCACATAAATGTACCCCCGGATTTTAGTAATTAGGCGTCACAATTACGTCACGAAAACCGTACCCATAGCTACAACAATTATTTAATTAATGCGCCTAAAGCAAACTACGAAGATTCAAGGCATTTCTAAACTAATTTTGTATTTATATGAGGGCCATAAATTAAAGGATTTTATTTGTATATGGCACACCCCAAATTATTTTAAGAAGAATTAGTTCTTGAACTACATTTGTGAGGGCCATGTGTTATAAATTTAAAGCATGGCACACCTCAAATTATTTTAGGAAAAAAAAAGGTTATATATTTTAAAGGGCAAACTAAAGGTATTCCTATTTTAAACTAATTTAAAACTAATTATCACAACCACGTCACGGGAGCCGTACCCGTAGTTGTAATAATTGGAAAGTATACTTCGTTACTTAATCTTAACAGAGATTTAATATAATCGAAGTCTTCTTCGAAAAACAAGTTGAAGAACATTGTTAGTTTCACTGTGTATGAACCAAATGCATAAATAACATGATTTATATAAGTGGCTATTTACATAATTTGCCAACGACAGTGTCTGATGCTAGTCCTGCGTATTCTTGAAACAAACATCAATAATGAATTAACACTTTACAATTTAAATAATCAGAAATAAATATTACAAGGTTATGATTAATTCTTTTACTACTTCGAATCTATTGAGATCTGCCCAATTTTTATATCGTCAGCACCATTTCTTTTGAAATGAAGATATTCTCAAGCCAACAACACACACTCATACATTTTAAATAGCCGAGGAACTTTACTGTCTTAATATTTTTTTAAAATGATCCTCACAACATGATTAAATCAACATTCATTTCAATGCATCAGTAACCTATTTCAAATACAAGGGTGGATAAAATACGTTTAAACTAGGTGATATAGAACATGCCAATCACACAGACATTGAACGGAAATTTAAACTCAAAACGTCATGCTTGAACATGCAAATTTCATAGCAGACAATCAAAAATCAAACATTTAGATTTAAACCCTTTAAGAATACACTACAGATATTTCAATCACTGGACCTAAAGAGAATAGCTTGAAGCAATTCCGACACAGAAACAACAGCGAGCAAAGCGAGATTCCCCAGCTTCCATGTACGAAAATCATTCTCATGTTCTTTATAAAACTCAAACAAAACATGGATTAAAAGTAACAGGCCAACATCCAGTTAAAAAAAACAAGTAACAGAAAACCATAAGAAAAGAAAACAAATGAAACTCAAATAGCAATCTTCCTTTATAGCAATTATAGAATCAACAAATACACTGTTTTCTTGACTCCAAAATTCCAGCGAGATTCAACAACAGTATCGAGTAGAACTTGCAAGCCAAATCAAAATTTCGAAACCCCACTTCGGACAAAATCGACAGAGTGCAGAAAATTCAAAACTCCACCCCAATCTTCAACTTGAGGATTTAAACCAAACTTCCTTTCTAAAGAAAGAACAGAAATCAAGAGAAAAAGAAAACAATGTTAGAAGAGATCTGTTTCAGCAATCTTTTTTTTTTGTTTTTTGATTTTTTTCTCTTAAAACAAAACAAAGCTTGAATGAAAACTAAACTCAAGCCATATATTTTTTTTGTGTATCTTTTCAGAAAAAAAAATGACAAAGAAGACTGAAGAAGATAAAGGAAAAGAAAACTTGAAGGAAAGTGACGACTAAAAACCTCATATATATAGCCTTCAAAAACTTTCAAAATCTGCCCAATTTTGAAAAAATCTTCAGGATTTTTGAACAATTTTGGGACAAATGGAGGGCGTGGATTGATTCACATCTATCTACGGTTCCCATTCATCTAACAATTGTCCTTTTTGTACAGAAATTCATATGATTTAGGAGAGAATATTCGAATTCCTTCTGACAAAAACCATTAGGAATCAAATAACGTGGAGGGAGGGACCATTTTGAGTGAACTCGGGTGAGCTCTAGGCGAGTTGGGGTCGGGCTCAGTGAAGAAGATGAACAGTAGTGCCGGATTCCCTGATTCTCTAGGGTTCCTGATTTGGGAAAAATCTTATCAGGTGGTTTATATATTAGGGGAAACGGACGGGTCAAAATAACGGGCCAGATCCGATTTTTTGAACTGGGCTGTGGATTAATTAATTATATGGGGGAAAGATTGGGCTGGATCGGGGTGCATGGAGGCTGGCCCAATTTCGAAAAACTGAAATTCTTCTTCAATTTTCTTTTATTTAACAAATCCTTTTCTTTTCTCTCTTTTTTTTAATTAAAAATCCTAATAATTAAAAAATTCTAAATTATCTAAAAATGTGAAATCAAACTAATTAACTAATTATAAAAATTGTAAACATCCCTTAAACCTAAATTAAAAGAGAAAAATCAATAAATTAAAAATTAAAAGACAAAAAATGTAAAAATGGGCTTTTTTTTGTGAAATTCAAATTTTTATAAAGCAAATAATTACTAATTTGTTCAGAAAATGTAAAAACAAATCCTAAATGCAATGCAAGATATTTTGGTATTTTTCATGATTTAAATAAAAATTAAACATGCATAGAAATGCAAACAATTAATAAAAATCTATAAAAAATTCCTAAAAATGGCAAATAATTAAGAACAAATCTATATTCTTGGATTTTATAAGAGTATTTTATATAGGGCAAAACGTGCTCACAATTATAAAGCCATTTATATCCTATAGACATAATTTCTATTATTGAAGCCATTTAAATCCTATAGACATGATTTCTATTATTGAAGCCATTCAAATCCTATAGACATGATTTCTAATTTTGTGAAAGGAAAGCAGACATAGCAAGTGCATTAACACAATCCTATAGGCATGGTATCTACCCGAATTACCCAACAGATATAACTACCCACCCCTTTTTACTAACCACCTCAATGTTGTTTACAAATAATTATTACAGACTAGCGGAATATATTACCTAAATAAAGGAAAAAAGAAGAAGTTAACTATAGGGAGCCTGAAGCAGGCCTAAATGACTTCCCAAGCCTCCAATAGCCTCAAGTGCCAAAGTTCCATAGACAGTATCATGTTTAGGTGTGTCAGAGATCCCTAAGGACCTGAAGGATCCCGAGCAGTGCTCACACCTAGACTTTTCTCAAACAAGAACTGATTTAAGTGCAGTGTGGAAAGGCCAGCTCTAACATGCTTGAGTTCAGAAAAATCTCAAGGATCTCAAGGCAGTACACATGCCAGAGGGGCAGAACCTAATATTCTAGGAGTAGTGTGAGAGTGCTTGACATAGTTTTGTTTTGAAAATAGTACAAGGATGGCTTCAGAAGTAGAAATATTTTTTCAGAAACAGGAGCAACTTAGTGGTAAAAGACAGTTTGAGAAGAGTACTAAAACATCAGACAATCAATTGGTCATAAGAGACATTCAGATTTAGGAAATGAACACTTAACAAACAGATCTCATATGAGAATGGTGGCACATAAGAATCACATTAGGGTACATGGATAGGGATAAAAGAAACACATACTCACAAACTGCATACCGCACTTAGGATCTTGGGGACTTTAACAGCTTAGTCATGCTAGGCAAAGAAATAAGCAGGAAAGAGTGCGTACATTGAACATGACAGAAATGTAGACATGCTAGGCAAGGAAGTAAGTAAGAAAGAGTGCAAAATGTAAAAAATACAATGAACAGGCAGATTTTAGACATGCTGATCAAAGAAATAGGCAAGGATACAAGTTGACCCCCATAACTGATACTAGTGCAAGAATGAAAAACACATAAGGTTTGGATTTCAAAACTTAATTAGAGACATACCATATAAGGAGAGAAAGACACAAAGTATAGAGCAGTGTAGTGCAATAACTAGCCTTGGCTTATAGCCGGCTAGTCCAATGGAAGTATCAAGTGACAGAAAGAGCAGAAAGCTTTAAGTATAAAAGACAGTTTTTGAACTAGTGCTGCTTGTTATGGTTGTTGTCCAGAACTTAAAAGAAGAGTATGTTTATATAGGAATCAAAAACTTAACAAACAAGGTAAGAAATCAATTAAGTAGTAAATCAGGGAAATCACACGTAAATCAATAAGGTTTTTCCTTAATCAAGGGACAGCTCAACCAACGGTAAAACAAACTCAGTATTTAAGGAAAAGAATAAAGTAAAGCTTAGGTATATAACAGGCAATTAAGGGTAAATGCACATCAGTTTAATTAAGGAAATAAATCAATAACAATCAGCGGAATGCAAAAAAGGCAAGGAAAAACAATTAAGGCCGGTAAATTCAATCAAATTGTGTAAAGAAATAAGGATTAAACGTTAGATGGAAAGGGGTCAAATTAAACAAGAAAATAAGGGATTCAGAGTAATCAAGGGTTCAGAAAATCATGAAAGAAGCAGCATGCTTAGCATATAAAATGAGGTAGAGCATGAATAGTCGAGATTTCACATAACTTTGACAAAACCAATGGTTAAACGACACTGATTCAAAGAGAAGCATACAAGTTTTGCATGAATGGTCAGTATAAACACAAATTCATAATATCAGTGAAAGGTTGAACTAAGAAAATTCAGTAGAAGCATACTAGGACAAGTAGATCATGAGAAGTCACAAGAACCCAAGGCAAGAACACAGTTAGAGGTACCAATATCCAGAAACCAAACGAAAAACCCCAAAACATTAGGGTTTTCAGTACAAATGGGATAGGGTTGCAACAAGTTTATAAAATTAGTCAAAATGTGTGAGAATCAAAAGTTTAAACACAAAAAATCATTAAACAAAGTTTAAAAAGAAATTCTGGAAACCCTAATTTTAGAAAAAGATGAAAAATCACTTGAAATCATACGATTCTTGTAAAGAATCTTAAGGCTATTGTAAAACACACAAGAAACAAACTCAAATCATCTTAGATTTGTACAGATCTAGGAGGTTTAGAAAAGAAATTAGGGTTTTGAAGAGGACCATACAGAGATGAAGAAACATACTGAAAAACCCTTAGATCGTAGCTAATACAGGACGATCTCACTCGAAATCACATTGGAATGGCTCGAAACAGACAAGGGATGAACCCTAGATACAAGTCGACATAGCCCTGGTCCCTTGAGGGCGTTAGAGATGGCAAGAATGACATAAGAGATGATATTAGAGGCCTAAGAGATGGTGAGAGGTCACCGGAGATAGCCATAAATGGCTGAAAATGAGATTGGAGATTAGGGTTAGGTTAGGGTGAGAGTGTTTTGAGAGCAGAGAGGATTTTAGGGCAGCAGGGTAGGTCGTGAAATGAATTAGGTTTGGGGTATAAGTTAGTTTAATTAGGAAAGGAAAACCTGGACTGTTGATCAAAACGATCAGCGGCCACGATTTGGCTGGATATTGGGTTTGGGCGAATGGGTATTGGGCTTGGGTAGTTTAATTGGGTATTGGGCTGGCAATTTGGGTTAGGATTAAGGTTTAATTGGGGCTAAAATTGAAATATAATTAGGCCATATTTTAAATAGCCATTTTAACACTATGTAATTTATAATAAATAATAAATGATTTCTAAAAAATAATTTTGTATACTAAAAATGGTTTAAAATAGTTATTTAACATTTTAAAAATATAAAAGATTTATGCATCAATAACGTAATTATGCATTAATAGGGACATTATTGCAAATATATGCAAATTGGCTTTAAAAATATAAATGCAATTATTAAAAATGTACTAAAAATATTTAAGCAGTATTTTAGCACAAATATAGAATTTAGATGGCTAATTTGCCACAAAAATAATTTGAGGGATAATTATTGGAAATTTTATGAGTAAAAATGGAAGAAATAAATCAATTTGAAGCCTTTAAAATTATAGAAAAATTATAAAAAATGCTTATGTAGGCTTATATATGTATATATGGTATTCTGGAAGTACATATATGTATTAAAAATATATAGGAAAAAATTGGGTATCAACAGCTGCCCCTCTTTACCTGAGAAAGATGAAAGAGTTTTCGGGTAAAGAAATGATGGCCAATTTTGACCGGGCGGGACGCTTTGAAAGACAGAGGCCGGACTCCGGTCTTCGAGTTGCTTACATATCCCTGGTTTTACAGGAATTAGCCCATGTGTAGTTCTGGATTCATTGGCGGAATATACCGATGAAGTCATTGTAAGAACGGGCACGGGACGCAAAAGCGGATGTGGTGAGCGGCTAAGATTCGAGACAGTTGAAGGAACTGGAGCGAGATCACTCCTATTAGGATAGCAATTTCTTACTGGTCACCTGCAGATAAAAAGATGCTACGAACATGTATTTGTACGAAAATTTAAACATAATGCAGATTCCCTTTTGGACCATGAAGGTTGTCTTTGGACGGTTAGAGATGACGTCCTTGGACCATGACGTCCTGGGCAATAAATTGTTTAGTGAGGGATTCGCAGGCCATGAAATGATGTTCTCAGTCCATGAAAAATGGTGCCTCCGAACCATGACGCCTTTGAATAATGATATGCAAATTTGAGGGATTTTCATGCCATGGCATGGTGTCTTCCGGCTATGAGGATGATGCCTTTTAGACTATGGAGCCTTTGGATAGATTGGCGATATTTCAGCCCATTATATGCAATAATCATGATGTTAACAAGATAAGGCTTAGTCTTGTGAAATGAAGGGCAGAGCTTAGCCCGATTGAAAAGTAAGTAGATAGTACTAGAAATAACGCAATGTTGGGGAGGCAAGGATTAGCCTCATGCAAACAGTGAGGCAGGGATTAGCCTTATACAGATATGGAGGCAAGGATTAGCCTCATGCAATTATAGAGGCAAGGATTAGCCTCATGCAAATATGGAGGCAAGGATTAGCCTCATGCAGATATGGAGGCAAGGATTAGCCTCATGCAGATATGGAGGCAAGGATTAGCCTCATGCAGATATGGAGGCAAGGATTAGCCTCATGCAGATATGGAGGCAAGGATTAGCCTCATGCAATTATAGAGGCAAGGATTAGCCTCATGCAAATATGGAGGCAAGGATTAGCCTCACGCAGATATGGAGGCAAGGATTAGCCT